TGCTAAATCCAATGCATGTCAACAACATCAGTATGTCGCAAAGGGCAAAGTTGTTCCATGCGTAAAGCCCGGCTTAAATCAGATTACTAATTCATCCTGCGCTAATTCTTTCTGGGGTGACCTCTGCCGCCCATATAACGTGACAGATTGACCAGAAACTGATGGCATTTGTGACCACACATCCTGACCTGCGCCAAATTAACATGCAGCGGTCTGCCCGTTTCGGACACCTGGAGTCACCCTCATGAGCCCTGGCGGAATGCAGAATTCTTGGGTTGGGTTGGTGATGGAAATATTTTGATTGGGTTCTTGTGGGAAGCCACAGACAAACATGTACATGGGAGACTTGCCATGTTAAATTCACGTGTCTCTTAGTAACCCCAGACTCATGTTCACATCAGTGGGCATCTTCGCCAATTTACCAGGAAAATTGGGGGCCCAGAGGGGCCGGGAGTGAGTGTGCGAGCACCTGGGGGTAAGAAGTGACTTTAATCACCTGTGCAAAGGCTTCAGTGCAGACAATCTGTGATCAGCCTCAAGCAATGCCTGTAAAGTCTAAGAGAACTGTGCTCCCAAAACATTAAAAAATCAACTTCAGTTCCAGGCCAATATTTTGGCAAATTGAATCTTTCTACACGGACTGTACATGGAATATCTTCATCGAAATTCTTGTACCAGAGTGGAAAGACACATATTACATAAAATATATCTAGTTGAACTCTTGCTTGTTACGTATATCTGTAGCCATTCAAAGGTCACTAAATTAATGTTTTGCTTGATGTCTTGTGTGTATATATCCAACTGAGTCTAAAAGTTACATAAATGTTGTGCTGCAGCAAAGATAGCACATGGCTATAGTTTAATTTCCTGGCTGTGAAAACATTCGCATCACGACAGGAATGCCAACGATAATGATATTTCCTACGTGCTGTTCAGCACAATGTACAGAAGCATGTTTACCATTGGTGGTCGCTTTTTTGATTCCCCTTTTGGGGCAATGACACAACAGGTCAGTACAAGGAGAACAAAATAACGAAAACCATATCTGACTGCAGTTTGTCCAAATAAAAAGAGTTGAATGAATAAACTGAAATGATTGCTTCACTCCCATACCAGACTTGTGTAACCAAAGAGGATGAAAACAAGAGGGTGCCAAGCACATGTCATGTGACCTTTCCATTTTTATCAACCCGCATTTTGACCTTTTAGTGCCAAAAGGTTGTTCATCGGCTCTGGAGCTATCCCGTCAAGGATAAACAATGTGAACTGAACAATATGAAATGTGTACAGGAAAGTCCACATAGTAATAAATGGTGCAGCTTTATTACTAGTATATCAGTGATTGAACTTCCTTGGTGTAACTGCTTTTTCATTGTTTTTTTTTTCCAAAAAATACACTTGTAAGCAAAATTATGAAGGATTTGCCTCTGAACGACGTAATAAATATGAACAATTTAAAGGACAGTCAATGTATCTGGAACATCGAACCTCAGTGTTTTCTATCAAGCATCTGATGTCTGGACAGCTAGGGAAGATATACATGTCCATATACACGTAATGTATGATTGCAGCCCGCGTTTTCAATGACACGTTAATCTGAGCCCTTCATCTTTTGACCGGGAGTAACCCCACAGGCCAAAGTGCTATGACTGAGCTGAAACACTGGATAGCACTGTTGGCACATTTGGGCCATGCAACACTATCACTAAGCACACCAAGGGAATCCCGCAATAAAACATATGAAAAGGCAATTACACATCCATGGAGTCGGAATCTATTCTGAGGTCTATTTGGGACAAGGATTACTTGATAAGGTCTTGTGAGGGTCATCTGTTATGAGCTTAGTCTCTAATTAATAACATCCTCTGCTAGACCAAGAGACTCAGCTATGAACCATATTTGGGTAAACATTGCTGGGAGAGTCAAGTAGAAACTTTTCCTCAGAGCAATTTGTGACATTCGTATAATTAATTTTCTTTGTTGTAATAAATTGAAAAAACAGTACGTAACATGCACAGATACTGTTGAAAACTGGTAAAACAATGTTGACTGTTACAGTTTTAAGTTATTGAATTTACTTCATATCTGCATGAAATTTGGAAACGTCATGGATAGGATTTTTAGTCTAAAAACCGATTTTGCCAATGGATCAAGAAATATTTTGTCTGTAGGGGTTTGTCTTT